CAAGTGAAGCTGAAATAGTGCCTTTTAGCAACATTTTGCTAACGTCGTATTTTGCTCTAGGCACCCGTCGTTGTGCAGCCGCACTTAATTTGAGCAGACCGTCAAACAGCGTCTCTGAAAAATGCTACAGCAGCAGTCGCTAAAACAATAAATTACCTGGCAGTTTCTACTTCCACAACTAAACCAGTGAAATAAATCAGCTGTTTGCCTAACAAGCGTGTCAGCAGGCAGTGGTTCACCGAAGTTGGACACCAGAAACTACCTATCTGTTCTTTCAACAGCAAAAAAGTAATCAAGTTTTGATGCACCTATCGCTGCAAGTGGTTCATCTTAAAAAACCGTGGGGCTGAATCAGAACTTTGCCCTTAATTTCATTATTCTTTTTGAACAAATGTGAGTCAACCTAGCACCCGAAAACACTTGCCCTTCCTGCCCTTGTGAGGTGTGTCGACGTATTTGCACGGGCAGTTTCCCTAATTTATACTATAAGAGACGGACTTCTTCGAAATTGCTTTTGCTGCAAACTGTGAGTTACATACCGAAGCACAGAAAATCCTCCACTCATGTTCCCCAAGCTTTTTCAAGCCTCAAGACGATGTGTTTGTGAATGTTTGCAGTATTCACTCTTGAACAACTTCTTTTAATTAGTAAAGCATTGCACAGTACTTCTCTTCAACATCGAAGATGCGCTGCTTTTCAAGTGAAAGCACTGAACAAAGTTTACTGCGCTTTCAATGCTGCGCGCCTCCCATCTCTAGTAGCGTTCTATTTGTCTTGTGTTCTACTTCGGAGACGCAGTGGTGGATGAAGACTCCACTGCAGTTACAGATCTAATATAACAAGGAATTCTCTTCTGTTTTCCTCAAACACCTCCGTCATTAAGTGAGCTATCCATGAAAGATTCCAGCACCTATGAATTTACACTTTAACGGTCAGTGAGAAGAAAATAGGAAAACAAGGAAGCATAATAAAAATTTAGTGCTTCAAAACTATAACAACGTTCAACAATCAACAACAAAACAAAGGCTAAGGCTAAGTACTAGCCTACAGTAGGTGAAATAACGATAAATGAAACTCATAACGAAAACGCCAATAAAACGGCCCGTTGTTTCCAAATTATAAGTTGAAAATGAGGTAAATGGAGAGATTCCTGGAGCAAGTTCGGTTCGGAAAAAAACAATCACTGCTAATCCGGTTCGAATAAACTAACTCAGCACTACCAGCGTCTTAAAAGCAGAACAGTGAAGATAAATCCAAAGCCAAAATCTTAAGATTTTCTAGTGGAACTCTAGATGGTCCTCTTGGCAACGTTGGAGTCGAAAATCTCAGAAAGCAAAGGATCCCGAACATACATCGGCAATTAGAGGATGACGAGAAGAAACTAGGCGTAATGATCATATTCCTACCGATGCCTCCAGTTTAAGAAATAATCGTAGAATTTTTCAAAAACCATAAAAATCTAGATACTACATCTAACATTCAAGCATTATCTTCATTATGATCCTGGTTCGCAAAGCACCTTCCCTCTAAATGACATCGCTCACATTTTTTGCAGTGACGATAGCTCATCTTCACACATCGCATACATCGTTCGCAGTGCTTATACGGTGACCCATCCTGTAAGAAAATACGTTTTTTATCGACAGAGGAAACAGGGAGACATTATACGCTAATTTATACGCTAATCAAATCAATAACTTCTCCTCTGTCACTGGTATGCTTCGAGAGTTTGGCTACGGAGCTAGTTACCAAATTGAAAAATTAGCTGGATTTCAAAAGTATCCCACATAAAAGAAGAATAAAAGTGTAAATGATTAATTCGCAGAGAATAAAGAGCGCGACGTTACCAATTGAAAGAAGGACCGTGAAGATATAAAGAAAAAGTAAAGATGAAAGCTGAAATGCTTCAAATTCTGTAAACAGAACATGCGTAAATTACCTTTGACGTACACGATGAACACATAAAACAGTGCTTGTTGTCTGATGACACATATCGCTCACAGAATTCACAGAATCTGGAAAGTGCTTGTCAGTTAAGGAAGAAATTGGTCATCATAAAAACCTACTTGTATGCTTCCAGTCCCGACAAATCAAAGACGTCTGGATTAAGATTCGTGAAGAATCTTACAGTTGTTTTTGATGGCTTCGCGAACACTTTGTGATTGTCGTAAGTGACCTGTAGCTTTTCTCGAAATTTCAACAAGGAATTTAACTGATCATTTTAGAAAAAAATTGGTTACTTACGCGATAATCACACATCCAGTAATTTTTGTCCGTTCGAAGGATATATTTGCCGACAAACATAGGTATAGCTATACATGTATGGAATGTAGCGGGCAGATCACCTCTAAAAGTTGTGAACTTCCAATTATTTGCAAATTTCCAAACATCAATGCATACGTAAAAGAAGGTTCTAACGAAGTTTTGGATAGATCAAGGTCCAAATGGCCGAGCACAGCACCGTTTGACTCTTCGATTAGGGTCAAAGATGGTAAAACGACCAATGTCGAACCCATATATATCCAACTTCAGCTGAGTATACTCAAGTGGAAGTTCGAGGATCAACAATGCTCTGCGCCATCATCCATACCCAACAGATTATCACAATCAATTGAGCTTGGTAAAGGTGGCGGTGGGGATCGATCGCGCGATGCACGCGTGCGAGACGAGAGCGCTAACCACTACACCATTCGAAACAGCGGCTGCAGTGAAGTCCGCACGATCTTCCCCATTCTAACAATATATGCGGTCCTTACGATCTCATAAAAAGCTCATGGCCAGAATAATGTTCAAAAACAAAGTTGAAGGTGGTATAACTTTAAAACAATGCAGAAGATCAGAGCATAATCGGATGAACGAAAGAAGAGAACTACATTCAGAAAAATGTGAAAATCCGTAAAGACAATTCTCCTTGTATGATAACTCAAACTTTCATGTTTTTTTTTTCTTTTTTAAGAAAAATAAACAAACCGGGCATCCTTGTGGCGTTGTTGTAATGCCATAATGCTCCTCATCAGCGGCTCTATGAACACTCCAAATGGTGGATCGCATATCAATAACACGCTGGAGCAGTTCTAAAATCACCAAAACCATTGCTGAAGTGGAAATGTGAATTTATGGACATCTTAGATTCCTACAGACCTGATATTATCTCGAAGATTAAGAGTAAACTCAAAGGTGGGCAAGAAAACATACTACAATATAAAAGACGCAATAAGAACGGGTTTTCTACAAGCAAACGTCAACCCAATCACTCAACTAACCGCAAGGAAGTCTCTGAGTTTTGTGATGGTCTTTTTGTCATAAAAGTGGTCCACTAGCATGCTATATTGTCCAAACTGACGTGAGGGATAGAAATGGGCCTAAATAGACACGCATTACGGATTCGCTATATATTCGAACGTGGCACAGAATACTTACATATCTCCTGTCGTAATCAAGTAGAAATAGGTGAAGACCATCTTTTCGCAGTCTCAGGGTTTCGAAAAGCTGTAATTTTAGACATAAAGGAACTGCTTGAATAGTACTCGTGATCAGAACTCACTCTAGGTGCTCCGACGCACAAAACACCGTCTACTTTAGATCGATCAACAGTGTTCAAAAGAACACCGAGCGCTTCATCGGAAAAGAAAAACTGCTAAAATGGTATACTTTTCGGGTAAATATGCACTGGAAAGTGAAGCAAAACATACGGCCTCGCCACTTTGCGCATCGAGAGCATGCAAAAGCTTTGAAGGATAACGCAGTTGAGCTCTCGTTACTATTTCTGATGGACAAGCGTGTTTGGTCTCAAAGGCATCAACGCATTCGTGGCAAAACACCAATGTAGAGCCTTTAGGAATCTTCTTCAGCCTAGAACATAGTGTTATCTATTCAGCAGCGAGGTATGCAGTCTATGAAATAGGAAATGTACTAGAGTGAGGAACAGTGAAAAAGTGAGTAGTATTCTACAGTAAGAAAGGACATTTTAGAAAGAAATTAGCCTCGAAAACATGCAAGAAAGAATTGAAGAAAACTTAACGTACTTCTTCGGTATGCAGCCGTAATGGAACGGCTCCTTCGAGCCATCGTTGTGCTCCTTGCCCTGCCGCTTATCTGCTCCAATAACATTCACAATAGCATTGCTATCGTTAACTTCTGCCTTATACGCACAAGCGGTTGGATCAGCTCTAAAGCTGACGGTAATTATATATAAAACACTCCTGACGTTCAAATTTCATTACAGCACCCATATATCGTCCATACCATCAACGAATG